AAACTTGGTATCTGATCATTTGATTAATTCTCAGTCTACTGTGGAGTAGTAGGTGGAATTCATAGTCCAAATGAGAGTATTAATGGAATTCTGTTTCCACACCAATCCATCATCTCCTCGGCACAAATAACAGAGCTGATTCTAAAGGCACGTCCCCAACATAAAGCTTTTTGTAGATCATTTCTCATCAGCTTCCAATAATTCTGGCACTTGCACAAACCTATAATTGGTTATATATTTTTGAAATGAGTTTCTTGTTATTGTTTCTAATCTTTTGTTTCAGTTTGTGTTTTCCTTTCCTTCACATGAAACTAAAACCATCAGCATTGAAAAAAATGCACATTCGACCAATGAGTACATTGAACATTTCTTAGGACCAAAGCTTATTACTTAACCACTCTAGTAATACAAACTGTTCCACAAACTCCACTATAATTTAAAAATAAAATACGATAAACTTTGTAGCTTATACTTTCATAAGGTTTCTGATTTTTTTAAATGTATTATTTATTTATTTATTATTTTTTAAATTTATTTTTATTTTTGTTCAAAATAAATGTATTTTAGCGTAGCAAGTGAGCATCGATGCCTTTTCCCTTTCACTTCATTTTTAAAGTGCACTGAATCACTTTATGGAAAGACAGTTTTATATATACCTATGAAAGAACAACTCCAAATAATTTTTAATTGAAAAACTGGGGGAAAGCGTAGGTGGAACTGGTATTACAATATGTTTCCCAAGAGAGTTATAAGAATACAGCTATAATTTATATAGCGGGTGCCCAATTGCTCACAATTTCCTAAACTGCAAAATGGTGGCAAATAAATTTTAACAGATATTTTATGAAAATTGATGCTTATTATGACGGTGTATGGAGCCCACCGTGGCCCACCTTCCTCAGAAGTCAGAGGTCATGGGGCGCACCAGCCTCCTAATTTAGAGTTGGCTCTGAGGAGCCATCCTGTCATTGGGGAGGCTGCAGCCCAGGGCCAGCTCCACCTCACCAAGATGACCACGTGGATTCTTGGTCACCTCTCCCCCTCTGAGCTCTACTTCTGGGCATAGTTTGGGCCATAAAACAAAGCACTTAATTGCATCCTCCACATGGAAACTTCAATTCAAAAAGACAAACTTATCAAGAAATTCTTTCCCACAAATAACTAAAACAATATGCTTTTCAACAGATCAGGAAGAAAGGAGATGACAAAGAACATTCTCTCTAATCTAGGAAAAAAGCAAGAACAGTGCTTTGTAAAGGTTTCTAGTAAGACGATGGCATAACCGTTTAAAAATTAATTTCAATCCTCCAACCACCTACTAGAGTTAAACTTTAAATAACTGCTCTAAAAGAATTCCATTTTCTGTATCCATCTGCATCTAAGAACAGGAAGTAAAACACAGAAATTACTTGCAGTAACTGAGAAATATTTAAAATGAAAATTATAGCATGTAGTAATAATTAAGCAGAAGCATAAATAAATGTAACAATAAACACTTTTTGTAAACTATCACATATTGTTGAATACTGTGGCCAGTACACTTCCTTATGAACTGATGCTACTGTTACAAATGGAAATTTCTCCAAAATGAAAAAGCACCAAAGTAAATTTCATTAAAATAAACTGAGATTCATGGTTTGGAAAATTCCTTATGGCAAGATTTTACAATGGAGTAAAAATTTAAACTTGTGAATGAAAAGCATTTGCATTAGTTAAGGCACATCTGGACATCTCCAGACATTCACATGTATAACTAACTATATTAGCTTCAGTAATAAGGGGTTTCTAAAAACACAGTCTGTGCCCGAACACAATCTGCTGGGTGGGCTGGAAAACTAGAACAGGGAAGGAGGCAGGGTAGTACTGGCTGTCACTCTAGACACTGCCCACACACATCTGTTCCTGTAATAAGCGCCACAGAATTCCAAGTTGAAAGAAATCAATATATGTACACACCTAACTCTCTAGATCAGACGTTAACCCAGGCCATCATTCCCTACAACCAAGCCTACGCTGAAATGATTCTAGCATATGTAACTCCAGCCTGCCTTGTATTTAACACATACACCCCGATAGGAAAAGGGGGGGTTTCCAAGTGGGAAACAAAACAGAAATCTTCAAAACTATTCCCATAACAAAAGATCCCCACTCACCCCACATACACATGGAAGACCCACTGACCCACTGACGCAACCCCAATCAAGCAGGATCAAGAACGTCCCTCTTTCCTCACCTTAGAAAATAAAGCTTTTAGAAGACTCTCAATTCTAAAAGACAAAAAACCTGTTTGATTTGGTTACTCGGCAGATAATAAACTCAGCCATGAGTCTACTACAGACTTTGGAAATTTAAACAATTAACCAAATATTCTCTATCCATTAGTTCAACTCATTTTTGACCACTTGATATGGAAGTTTACTTACTAAAGTGATGTTTGAAGAGTAACTCAAATGTAACACTGGACTGCTATTCCTTTTTCACCACACCATACTTTCACTCAGATTAAAGTATAAAAGCTAAAAGCCAAGTTGGTAACTGTATACCACAAAATAGGAAACATGACTGTGACAGATGCAATGGCATTTTCATATTTTATATTCTTAACACTATGCAAAAAAATCTTAGAATTTCTCTAATAACTCCTGAGTTGTAGGTTTTATTTTCTCCTTGAAGCTGAAAATGAGTAGTCTCAAGAACTAAATTTAAAATAAAAATACAAAGTAATTTATGACTGAGAACGAGACCCGATTTAGATAAAGCAGACATATTCTCAGTCCTATCATGATTCTTTTGAATTTCTCATGAGATCAAGCATGAAAATATATAGTGGTACAATTTTCTTAATATTATAAACCTTTACTGACATATATCTTGTAACTAGGTCACTTTACAATATTTCAAAATATTTTCACATATATCATCTCCTTAGAGATAGGAAAGCACAAAATATGAGAAACGCACTGGACTAACCAAGCGGTATAACATCGATTTGCCATGAAATGCAAGAGTATTTTATCAATAGCCGATATTTAGTATCCTCACAGTCCATGATGCAACAATACTATATATTTGCAAAGATTCGATAATGTTTCTAGCTATTTGGCCATGCTTCACTGCATTTTTATAACAGCTTCTCAGTAAATTTCTGTAAGCATATGGTAGTTTTTAAGGATACAAAACATCAGAGTCAGACCCAGAGGGTTGTTTCATATCTAAGACACACATAAATACATATCTATAGATCTTATTTTAAAAACTATAAAATGTACAATGTATTCTTAATAGAAAAATGTTCTAGACACTCATTTTTATCTGCAAAAGAAATAACATTCTCTCCCTTGTTCTCCATCGAATAATTCTGTCAGAAATTACTCACAGATTAAATGTAAGAATCGTACTGTTACACGTGAATGTGCATTTAAAACACAACATGGTGGGGAAAGGCCACTGTTTTAAATGGAGTTAAATATGCATTTAAAACACAACATGGTGGGAAAAGGCCATTGTTTTCAGGCAGTTTTTCCCTTGAGACAGAATGTCCTCAAATTAAATGGCACAACCTAAGCAAACCCCTAATTAGAAATAATATTCCAAAAGTTAAATTATTGAACAAAATGTTTTTACATCTAAGGGTTTTGATATATTACAGTTTCTCAGTAATTCAGATGATACCCATTTATTTTAGTATCTGTCCACTGTTTACTATCTTAATATCTGGTCACAAGTTCTTAACATTATGCACTTAGAAAACAGTCTGAACATTTCATCGTGTATGCAAAATTGGTGAGATATTTTGAATTAAATTAATCGCATTCCTGCAATTCAGCCCAATGTGACAAGCTCTTGTCACCTCCTAACCCTACAAAGCTATTTACTGAACTCTATGGAGACACTGCTCCAACCAGCACAACATCAGAGGGTCCATGTAAAAAAGCACTTGAAATGACAAAGCGGAATTTTCCCCCCCAAATCCTAATGAGCACTTCACAAAAACAGTAGAAAGCAAAACTTGGCATATTTGGGGAACCAAAAATGATAAATTCTTTTATATTTATTGGAATATGGTATAGAACATGAGTGTTATTAACATTCATATAAACAACGTCAAGTTTGAGCAACTGTAATGTTTCATGTAAACTTCAAAGTAATAAAATTCTGTTTCTAAAGGCATACTACTAGTGTGTATATTTTCCAGAAATGCTCTGCTTAAAATCCTCTGATCAATAAATGTAACAGATGATATATGATGTGATTAAAATATGACATAATATACATTCACTGGGGGTTCGCGTGAATAGAACTTTTCTTAAAAGCCTAAGAGACACACAAAAGCCAATTCCTTTTTAAATAAAAAATGAGAAATTTTTCTATTCATTGCTTTACCTATATTTGTATGCATACTTTGAAGTTCTCACAACAGTGCTTCTGATTTTTCCTGATGTGTAATAATAATTAGTTAAAATATTACAAGAAATAACATTATTTGCTCTTAACCAATATTAACACATTGAATGCTTACTAAAACTGAGTATATGGAATTTCAAATCTGTTCTCAATTTCAAGGGTTGACAACTTAGAGATGCATCAAATTGTAATTCTTTTCAAAAAGATAAACACCTGGCCAGAGTGATTCCGCTGATTGAGCATCTCCTGTGCATGGAAAGGTTGCCAGTTCGTTTCCCGGTCAGGGCACATACCTGGGTTTTGGTTCGACCCCCGGTTGGGGCACATATGGAAGGCAACAGATCAATGTTTCTCTCTCACATTGATGTTTGTCTTTCTCTCTCTCTCTCTCACTCTCTCTCTCTCTTCCTCTCCTCAGGTGAGGATTTAAAATTATATATATATATATATATATATATGTAATAAAAAAGATACACTATGAACTAAGCAATATTATTAATTTCATAATCCACATACCACCGAGATATTCATGGTATTAGGGACCACTGCCTTGTTGCCAATGCAAGAGGCATGCCTTTTAAAAATAAATAATTTCCTTTTGTATTTTAAAATTCTTTAGTCATTTACATTCAGATACAAGCACCAAATTTACATGGAACAGCCACAGAAGGCAAAATTCTTTTCTTGGACTTTCGCATCAAAAAAAATTTTAAGCACTTAATACAGAAAAATATTTTTACTATTCCAAGCAAAGCAGATTCCTGAAACCATACCGTTGCAAGTCCTGCCCTGTTCCATTTAAATCTCAGCACAGGAGTTTATCCAAATGCACAGGAGCAATGCAGGCGCTGGCTGACAAGGTGGAGGGCGAGGGGGAGGGCAGAGGGGGGAGGAGGGAAAGGCAGCAAGACAGACAAACGGACTGGGGGGCCGCAGCTCCCGAGGACATCCATCTCATCTACCAGAACTTTAAAATCATCATGTTGAGGTGTTGTAATGAAAAAACCTAAATTACTTTCCGAATACAACTGAGAAGACTGGATTCTTCCAGCTTAAAAAAAAAAAATGAATCCGTACATTAGGCAAAAGTGCGCAACATACTGAAGTTGTCCTCTTGGTTTTCTTCAGGTAGAGGGTAATCTCTCAAAAGAATTTATTTGATATCCTAAACACTAAATGATGATTTCCAGATACATGAAAATAACTGCAAGATAAGGATTGTATACAGACCTTGTAAACTCGCATCCTAAGTGTTCCAGAGCACATTCACTTACGGGGTCTTGTCTTAAAACATCTTATTCAACTCACTGTCATCCAAAACAGAAAACAACAAAATGCTCACAACAGAAATCACAAGCAGACGGCCAACACCCGGACTGTGGCCTCTGCTGCTCCGGACAAACTGGACAGCAGCCTTCTCCTCGCGCCCAAACTGGTGTCGGCTTCTGAAGATTCACTGCGACGGAGCCGCATCCTGGGGACCTGTATTTCCCGGGTTCTCACAGTCTTTGTTCTGACCGTCACCTTCCTTGTCTTTTTCGGGAGGCGATGCACTCTCCTTCTTCTCTGCGGGACTCGCTGTTTTTTCTGGGGGAGACTCTGGATTTTCAGCCCCCCCGTCCTTCTCTGCGTCCCCCGGCCCGGCGGCTTCGCCACTGGGCTCCGCGCCGGGCCCGTCTGTCCCCTCTCCAGGCTCACTAGGTGCCACTTTTTTTTCTTCAGCTGCTTTGCTACTCACATGAGCAGCTGAGGAGGAATTTTTGGAGTCCTTAGATTTCTTGTGCATAGAGGTTTGACTGTTATGACCAGAGGCGGGAGGGGCAGGCATTTTCTGGGGTTTGCCTCCCTCTGTCTCTTCTTTCCTAGGCGGTCCCCAGATAAAATTCTCTGAAGGCGTGTAATGTTTCTGGGCGAACCGTAGGAGCTTTCTCCTTTCTCTTCTGTCTCTAATGGTATAAACAAAATACTCCAGGGCACTCTGTTTAATATTGGGAATAGTATTTTCCACAAGAGCTTCATGAAGAATAAATTTTACGAGAGGAGATTTAAAACTTTCATATCCAAGCTCACCAAGGCTTTTAAGAATACGGGTGATCCTTAAATAGTTGTGCTGGGACCTAAAAGAGAGGAGTAAATAAAATGAAGGGGTGGGGAAATCCGGTGGAGGAAAGCAAGGGAATAAAAACTACTGGGAAAATATTTTTTATGAAAATAATCCTTTTAATGACTTTACTAAAAGTTGTATTAGAGACACCAATAAGAAAAATAAATTAGAAGGTATGAAAGCCTTACCCTTTGGTGTAATGTCAATCATGTGAAACTCAAACATAGGCATTCTCCTTATTTCTTAAATTCTTCAAATTTGAAAAAATATTTGGATTAAGAGTTATTTCCACTGATGTTGAATTATTGTTTGTTTCTTTTCTTTTTTTTTTAATATATCTTTATTGATTTCAGAGAGAGGAAAGGAGAAGGAGAGAGAGATAGAAACATCAATGATGAGAGAGTCATTGATTGGCTGCCTCCTGCACGCCCCCGACCGAGGATCTAGCCCGAAACCTGTGTGTGCTGACTGGGAATCGAATCTCTGATCCCCTGGATCCTAGATCAATGCTCAACCGCTGAGCCACGTCCGGCTGGGCTATTGTTTGTTTCTTAAATACACTGAGGATAAGGGATCTACTAGAGTATTTATTTGCAACAACAGCAATGCACTATACCTGTCAGAGGTAACCAGTATTAGCTATTAACTGAATGGTGTGATTTGCAGTGTCAACTCGTCGGGAAAATCTACCATATCAGCCAACTCATAAGGAAAGCTGCAAAAAACCGCTCTACTGCCCAGCCAGCATGGCTCAGGGGTTGAGCATCGAATGCGGTTCGGTTCCCAGTCAGGGCACATGCCCAGGTTGCAGGCTTGACCCCCCCCCCCC